TGTAATGTCAATCGAATGGATCAGAGGCTGGAAGTTGGAGGCTACTGCTATAATTATCCGCTGGAAGTTAACACTTCGGCAAATCCGGGACGTTTTCACGGGATTTCCATTTTGCTTCATGGGGCCAAAGGATTCAAAAAGCTATGAAGATAGCAACAAAACACAATTTTGAAAAGCAAAATATGCGGTAAAAATCATCATTGCCAACAGATTTGCAATCAAAAATGTGGGGCCCCCAAACGATAGCTAAGTATAGCTAACTTGTTTTATAACTGGGATTTGTTATGGTTTATCTTAGAATATCTTAGATATAGCTATAGTCTAATAGTCTATAGGATTCTACTATAGTTAATGGGGCGAAATTAAACCAACAATAGTACCCCCAAAACAGATAGAAAGAATCCTACTAAAATGCTGACAAAGTCAACTTGTTCTATCGTTTTGGTACTTGAAGAACTCAGGTTGTTTTTATTGTTCGAACATCCTCAACGCACGGCCACGGGAGGTTATTAACTCCAGTTGGGAACGCTGACGTCGCACCGTGGCACCATCCGCAGAGCTACAGCTAGTGGATTGGCAGCACAGCTGTGAGTCTTGGGAGTTCAAGTCGTGAAACGTCAAACTTCAAACATTCTATGGTTACACTATGCCCCCCCCAAGTAATGTTTGTTGGTTAACAAAACTCCCATGAATGCTATAGTTATAGGATGTTATAGGCATCATAGACCATAGTTATTGAAGTGATGTTCGCCAACTTTGCTATCGGAAACGGGGGCCCCACTAATTGTGATTTATGGGCCGGGCAACCCTGGGAACCCCGCGCTGAAGCTCAAAAATTAGATAAACAGCCTTTCTAGGCGAAATTCATCTTTTACTGGCCATTATATCATGTGGGGAAAGGTCAAACTTGAGACCCCATGGCTATCATGGCTAAAATACGTAGTAGCCTGACTAGACTTTCGTAGAAAGCTGGTCAGTGGATTTTCCCATTACAAAAAACAGCAAACGAAGTGTCCATGGGCAAGGTCAAAGTATGTATATGGAAAAGTTCTCATGACTCCCAAATCAAAAATAAGTTGTCCCCAACTAATCAACTAATCATTGTTCCCCACCTGCCAGGTGAGGGTTGTTAGATTCTATCAGAGCGCTCTTCCTCCGCGTCCTCGTCCTCCTCCTCGTCCTCCTCCTCCTCCTCGACTAGCTGTCCTCTTCCTCCTCGTCCTCCTCCTCGCCTCCTCCTCCAGTTTCTCCTCGACCATGTCTGCATCAACTTCCACCTGCACTTCCGCCTTGCCAACTCTTCGCCCAGCTCTTTGCCAACTCTCTTCGCCGACTCTCTGCGCCAAGCTCTTTGCCAACTTCCCAGCTCAGTGTGCACCGCTGGACCTCAACCTGGGACCGTTCCAGCTCAGTGTGCACTGCTGGACCTCAACCTGGGATCTGCCCAGCTCAGTGTGCACCGCTGGACCTCAACCGGGGACCTGCCCAGCTCAGTGTGCACTGCTGGACCTCAACCTGGGACCTGCGCAGCTCAGTGTGCACCGCTGGACCTCAACCTGGGACCTGCCCAGAGTAGCTGGACCTCATAGAATGCCAGATAGAATAGAAGATATGCCAGAACATATGCCAATATGCCAGAAGAATGTCAGATAGAATGCCAGAAGGTATGCCAGATAAAGTGCCAGAATGTTTGCCAGAACATATGCCAGAAGATATGCCACATAGAATGCCAGATAGAATGAATGCCACAAGCCAGATAGAATGCCAGAAGATTTGCCAGATAGAATGCCAGAAGATATGCCAGATAGAATGCCAGAAGATATGCCAGATAGAATGCCAGAAGAGATTGCCAGATAGAATGCCAGAAGAGATGCCAGATAGAATGCCAGAAGATATGCCAGATAGAATGCCAGAAGATTTGCCAGTAAGAAAATCTATAAATGTCATGGTGGGGATCACACGAAGTAAAGTATTTTTTTTGGGATCAGTAAAATAAACAATGGATAAATGGAAATAATATTTTTGAGATGGTTGCATGTGTTTTCCTCAACCAATCAGCATTCATGGGGTTTGGTCTGCCAGTTCGTTAAAATTTTGCCCAGACAGTGATTGTTGGAAATATGACCCAGAGAAACTTGAGATGTAATACAGTGCATCTATGTACATCTATATCTCTGGAACCATGTCATTCACGGCATAATAATTCACCATCAAAGTTTAGAATTTTTGGGATCCAGTAGATACTTATAATATCTTATAATAATATAAGCATATATAAACCACTATTACCCTTGAGCCACAAAGAACACACGTGTATACACATTGGTTAGAAGTACAGGACATTCTGATCGTTCTAGTGTGAATACAAAGTATATCATGTATTTTCTCTGATTTTATGTGTAAAGGGTCCCAGTTTCTACATATTATTGCATAATATTGCATATTACTATCTCCCCGTCAAACATGGTCAAACTGACTGTATGACCCGCTCGGAGCAACTTTGGCCATCTGCTTAGTCTCATCTCACTTTTGGGTGGGAAACAACTTTTCGAAGAGCATGGATTCTGCAGATCGCAATGGTTCGATATGTTCGATGTTCACAGTCACAGTCATGCTGCCTCTCCTGAGTCGTGAGTCTATATGGGTATGTCTCCCAAGTAAAGTTGGGTGCCAACCCACAAAACTCTTCATCTTCAGAGTATTTTCAGCCAAGTTTTCTGGGGGTGCCAATCGTTATGAGCCATCCCCATCTGTTATGCATTCACTGCCAGGGTCGCCTGGACATCCAAAAAGTCAAACATGCTGCGCACACCTCGCGTCAGTGTCGTCGTCTCGTGTCGTGAAACGACACCGGCGGCCGTCTCCCAATGCCAGGAGGGACTTTTTTCCAAGAGCGATAAACACGTTCCAAACTCATTTCCAAATTCATTTCCTATAAAGTGCTGCCCAATAGGTCGGGTTATGTTGTTGGTCTTTAAACCCCATATAGATACATCATATATCAACCGCTTGAACCCAGTTTTCGAAACAAAAGCGACCTGGCCAACTCTGAGATGTCCTGGAGAGACATGGATTTTGGGAGCCCCTGCGGTCCCAATTCAGTAGGTTTCTCATAGAGCTTCTGATTCAATAGCTTCTGATTCTACCGATTTTGGAATATGTTAGTGGTATGATGTGATATGCACAAAAAAGATCACAAAAAAGTGCCAATGATAGGGAGCAACCGAGCATCCTGACAAGTCTACCATACCGCATGGGAGTGTAGTGTGGTGAATCAAACAACATTAGCCACACCGGACCACACCCAATGATTTTTTCACAAGCAATATGCAGTTCAATTGAACCACACCTCCGCAGCGGCGCACCCTAAGCTGGTTACTTATTTCAATTTGGGGATAAACAAAAGCCATTGTTCTCTGTTTTCTGCACTTGGGAGAAGGAGTTGTATGTATCTGCTGGTGTCATACCATTGTTTCATACTGAAGAGAATTATTTTACTTCAGCGATAGTGAAATGACCATAGGAATCTGTTGGCGGCGTCCCTTTTAAGAGACCGGCCCTGGGGGTTCAGGACTGTCCGGGCGGAGAATGTGTCCAAGGTATAGCTGATTTGGCCAAACTTTCTTTGGAAGACGCAGCAAACATTGGGTTTCATTTTTCTTAACCACGCACAAGGAAGTCTGGACATTAGTTGGTAGATCCTTTTTTTTCAATCAGGCTTATTCGCCACTTACACATACTTACACTACGTTGGATGATCTTACAACAGGCTGTCGAAATTTAGCTTACTATGTTAGCACTTCATTTACCCTCTGGTAAACTAACATAACTATGGAAAATCCCCATGTTTACTGGGAAAACTCACTATAAATTGCCATTTTCAATAGCAAACTGCTGGTTTACCAGAGGGTACAACAAAAAATGCCACGTATCTGGGGTATATTCCAGGGATCAGCAGCTGGTGGAGAAAACCTGCCAGGCAAAGCCGGGAGGCGCGCCCTAAAAATTGCCCTACATGGCATTGGGCCACGAATTGGCACTGGCACTTTTTTGGATGATTCTCCTCAAAGGAATCACAGGTATTTCAGGGAAATACGGGATTCACAATGATTTCATCATCATAATTTGGAATCAAAGCTTCAAAACTGGAATCTAACTTCGCCAATGAACGATGGATATAATATATATATGATATATATATATATACATATTATAATATATAACATATATATATATATATGTATATATATATGATATATATATATATATTATATTATAAATATTATATGTATTATATATATTATAATATATATATACATATACATATATATTATATTATATTAAATTATATTATATTATATTAAATTATATTATATTATACTATATCATATTATATTATATCATATCATATCATATTATATTACATATTATATTATATATATATATTTTATTAAATATTATTATATTATATATATATATTATATTATATATATACTGTATATAGCATTGTCAAAAATGGGTGGCTAACCCAAGTTGTGGTGATTTGCATGGACATGAATGATGATAAAACATCGGTGTTCCGATTGCGGGTTTCAACATCCCAGGTAGATTGGAAAATAACCATATAACATATGTGAAAGCAACAACTAGGTAAAGGTCCATTTTGAGGGGATTTGGTTGGATACGTTCAAAAAATAATCGAGGAAATTTTAGTAGAAGCCCGGAAGACGTGATTATCTCACCATGCGATGAAACAAATCCACCGTGGACAAGATAGAAAATGGATGAAAATGGTAGATTCGATAGATTCACATGTTTATGAGACATAAAGCATATTCACCACGTGCCACTTATTATGCGTGTTGGCAAATTGACAAACAGGGAAAACCCACCATGCTTAGATATGTTTTCTACGGAAACCCATCAATTTCCATATCTGTGTTGGTTTATCCCGGTGTAAATCAAAATCGAAATTAAACTAAGTGGAAGATAATAACAGCTTTTTCCCTGGCCCTCCAAGGCGAAATCATCCCAAGAACCCTAAGCGGATTTGGTGGCAATTTGTGTGTCGTTTCAATTTTGTAATCCCAAAAAACACACGACACGATGCCACCACCACCGATGGGTGGTTTTTTTTGGCAGCACACAGCTCATTAAGCTGGTACTGGATCTCTCGTGCAGAACCTTGAGCTGCAATCTGCGCCGGGGAGGAGGGATGCATGTTGCCCAAAATAACAGATGATGGATGATGTACACCAAAGCAGCCAAAAAAGAGAAAATTGAGTTGTTACGGCTGAAGTTTCTATGTGGTCTTTTTAGTCCACAGAACCTTTGGTTGTCCATGGCAATTGACGATGCAATCCCGTTGGAAAATCATCAGTGAAAACATCGGTGGGGATCCAAGTTCACCCTGTCGTATAATATTTGTATATATTTGTCTATCCTTTCCCCAAAATCTTACTGGTGCTTACTAAACGTAGGGTTGCTGGAGGGGTATGGAGGTTGCGGACGGGACGATTATTGATAGTTAGCCAGTGGATTATTCCCGAAAATTCCCTACGTCCTAAGCACGAGTAAGTTTAAGCCTATTTTTCATGATTACCCTCTGGTAAACGTTTACATAACTATGGAAAATCACCATTTTTAATGGGAAAATCACCATTTTTAGTGCCACAACCGCCTTTCTTTCAGAGGGGTCCAAAAGTCCAAACAGATCCAATACGTTCCACCAGCGTATCTAAAAACTGAACGAGGGAAGAGATTAAATTAATTAATTAATACATAGTATTTAATTAATATAACATGAATAATATATTTTAGATTACATACTATATATATTATATTATATTACAGTATATTATTAATTAAAATGGTACTGCAACTCACTTTTCCGGGCCAATTTCTTTTTTGATCATTGGAATTTTGAGGATAAACTTGTGATAATACGGGGAAATTGGGGGTCTAAATTATGAGACGACTCCATCTTACTTTTCCAGGCTCCCTCCGGAAAAAAGAAATCCGGGCACATCACGGTGCCCGACAGTTAGCTAAGTTGGTTTGCCAGTATAGATTAACTAGGCTTTATGGTTGATATATCTATATAATCACCCTATAGTTAACGAGGTGTATAGACCAACCAACAAACACAACTATCGGGCACCACTTCGTAGGAAATGAATTTGGACAATCTGTAACTATAGCTATAGTTGGATGAGCCATAAACCAACTTATAACTAGTGGGTACATTGAACCTGCAATTCCGACCATGTTTGCGGCCTCATTCCCCTTAGATCCCCTTAGTATCAATAAACAATCCGTTTCCTGTGAATTCGGCCGGAAAGATCCGCTATAATTTTATGTAATGTTACCCAGAATCATGAAAATAACCCCATTGTAATGCCACTTTGGTCGCTTTTGACATCTTTTTACTACCCCAGTTTCTTCCAACTTTTTGAGCGCCGAGAGGCCAACTTGGTTATCCGATTCACGCCCCATCACCATCTTTGGAACAAATTCCATCCAGGATCCATCATCCGTATATCCCTATTCACTGGGGAGTATCCCCACCCCTTTAAAAGCTTTCATTCAATGGCCATTCCAAGAACCCAAAGTGGAGGTACCTACCATATATAAGGCCTATTTGTTTGGCTAATGTAAGGGGATATACCCCCAATTTCTATGGCCGAAAATATGGTACTAACGTACCTCCATTTTAGGATCCTGGAGATCTCCCATTGAACCCATATTAGCCATTATGAACCATTATGATTAACCATTATTAACCATTAATCACCCCTATTCGTCATGAAATTAACCATCATTAACCATCATTAACCATCATTAACCATTATTAACCATTATTAACCATTATTAACCATTATTAACCATTATTAACCATTAGTAACCATTATTAACCATTATTAACCATTATTAACCATTATTAACCATCATTAACCATGTTTGTGTCCTATGTTTGGGCAAAATCCTGGGTCATAAATCAATGCCATCGGTGAAATCATTAGCCTGGAACCATCCTGCGGATCAGCATTTTCCCTATTAACATGGCAATAAATGGTGGCTATGGTGGGTATACCCTCTGGTAAACGAATATAACTATGGAAAATCACCATATTTATTGGATAAGTCAACTATAAATGGCCATTTTCTATGTCGCAAACTGTTAGTTTACCAGAGGGCAACCCATGGTCAAAAAACATATCCCATTATGATTGACGTCATTATTGATTGTACAATCCCATGATATCACCATTTGCCCGTATCCTATAGTAAAATCCTATATGGTATCCTATATATCCCTATCATATGATGGATACTATAGGTTTAACCATTTTCCCTATAGTATCCTATTTTAACCATCACTATATACTTCTGATGGTTAAACCACATAAGTCAACTCAAGGCCTTAAGCCTCCATTCCGTCCTCGATCTGACTCCAAGCGACGCATGCCGCTGTGCTTGTCGCGAGGACATGCGGTTGTTAGGGTTCATGCACAGGAGCCGCCCTGAGATGTGATTGTTTCTCCCATCAAAACTGATTATGCTGAGATAATTTAACTTGCTTATAAAAATAATAATAACTGTGATAACTTCATATAACAATGATAAACAATGATATAAAAATGAGTTGAATAACCTTATATGTTTATTATGTTGATTATAACAATGATATTTGTGTGATTGTTGAAAAACATGTGTTGAGGTTATTGGGAATTTGGTGATACAAACAAATTACATTGCGAGTTGTTAACACCAAAATGTTGGTAATAAGAACC